CTGAATCAAAAGAAGCAGCAAGCTTGACCCAGGTTGATGAGCCCGTGAAGGCGACAGAACCCTCCGTGGTTCCAGCTGCCCCGAAGGCGACTGAGACCACTGAGGCTCTAGCTGACAGCTGGGAGAGTGCGGAGGACAGCGCCGAAAAGGAAGAAGAAAGAGTTGTCTCTGTTCACAACTTCCCAATGAGGCCCTTCATTTCCATCGCTGTGAAAGCTACGTCTGGAAAAATTACAACCTTTCGTGATGACGATGTCATGGACATTGCTCGTCTGAAGAAGGAGTTTGATCAGCTTGACCGCTCGTTGACTGCAGCTACATCGGAATATATCGTGTACGCACTCGCCAAAACCGGTGGAATTAGAATTATTCGACAAGACGACGGTAGTGACCGACAGGTGTTCCGTTCCACCCGTGATCGAGTTTTCAACGTTGCTTTGTGTACAGCTCCTTCTGCGGCTGGTGACTCCGAAGTCCAGGCCATCCTAGGCATTGGAGTCAGTGGCTCTGTATACTGGGCTTTGATCTCGCGTTCAGGAAAGGATTTCTTTGATGTGGATGCTTTGGAAAGCGAAAGCTTGATCTTCCCACCTTTCCCGGCCTCAGACGAGAACACCTCTGGTGGCCAGCTGAAAACGCGAGCCAAGCGGAGCACTCGTCACACCAATTTGTTTGCCATTGGTCGGGGCAAGAACATCTACGTTGTTTCACCAAAGGCAGCAATGAGCCCTGCCTACGGCGTTTCTGGCACTCAGCGCACAGTTAATACCGAGAAATTTTTCAAAGAGCGTGCATTGAAGATTTCCACTGGTAAAGCCGGCAAAGATTTTGCATTTAGTGATGATGATTCCGTCATCGCCTCCTTGGATAAGACTGGCCGGCTGCGTTTCTGGGATATCAATGATATGCTTAACGACGCGAGCCTTATGGAGGGCCCTGCTCCTGCCGAGATCCGGGTGCCCTTGACAACCTTCGTCACTGGCTCCCCAACCGAAAAGTCTTGGCCTACTTCAGTGCTCTTCCTCGATAAGCTTCGCGCTTACTCGCGATCTATGGCGCTTCGTTATGTTTTGGTTGGACTCAAGCAAAATCACACCTTGCAGCTCTGGGATATTGGGCTGGGCAAGGCCGTGCAGGAGTTGAAGTTCCCGCACGAAAATGAGTCCGATGCCATCTGCAGCGTGGCTTATCATCCAGCATCGGGGGTCATTGTCGTTGGACATCCCACGCGTAACTCTATCTACTTTGCTCATCTCTCGGCTCCTCGGTACAATTTGCCTCAGATGTCACAGGCAGCCTACATCCGAGACCTCAACGATAAGGACAACACCCTACCCAAGCCCGAGTCGACTGCTTGCTTGAGTGGAATTCGGGAGATATCTCTCGGTTCCAAGGGTCAGCTAAGAAGCTTAGAGCTTCTGCCCATCACCAAGGCCGCTACTGACAAGCGCGGCACTGAGGAAAATCCCCTGTTTGAGCTCTACGTTATGCACTCGCGCGGTGTGACCTGCTTGAACATCAAGAAGGAGGACTTGGGCTGGACTGCGGATAACAAGGTTATCCGCCCTATTGATGCAATGGAGCACGGCTTAATTGAAATCAGCGATCTTCAAACTTTCCCCACATACGCTATCGACGACCCATCTGTCAACGGTGACACAGCCTCTACTCAGTCTCGCGTTGCTCCCAAAGAATTGGCGAAAAAGCCAGAGATTGGAGAATTGGCTTCTGGCGTTGCTCCTTCGCGTAACGCTTCGCCTACCAAGTTGGCCAAGAAGAAGGAAGAGCCTAGTGAGCCAGCAGCTGCACCAGTCGTGGTCGAGAAGTCTGAAAAGAAGAAGAAGAAGAAGGCTGCTGCCGCCGCTGAAGCTGCCAAGGCAAAGGAGCCATCCGTCACTGTCGGTGTCGAACCTCTGCCAGTCCCCTCCGGCACTGCCAAGGAACTCGAGACTCTTGTCTCTTGTGCGTCTCAGGCTGCCGACCATGCAGTGCCGACTTTCGGATTCTCAAGTGAACTTCTCAACAAACACATACAAACCCTGCAGGGCAGTGTTCAAAGCGAGTTCAACAAAAGTCTCGGCCATGAGTTTGAGAACCTCCATCGTCGCTTCGACGATGAACGTCGCAGCTGGGATGCTGCCTCGTCGGCCAAGCAAGACCAAGTGTTGCGCCTGGTCTCTAGCACGCTCTCCGATAACGTTGAGAAGAACTTGACCCGTATCGTTTCAGCCAGTATCCAGACCGATGTTATTCCTGTCATTGCCGATGCCACCTCTGTAGCAGTCAACAAGCAACTGAATAGCGCTGTCTCTCAACAGCTTGGAGGTGCGTTTAACGAGGAGTTGCGACAGGTTCTTCCCAAGGCTGTTATCAATGCTATGCAGCAGGCACCAGTGGTGAAGGCGGTCTCCGATTCGGTCGCACAGAAGCTTGCACCTCGCATTGAAGTAGAAGTTACCCGCGTCATGCAGTCTTCAATCACCCCCATGATTGAGAGCTTGGCACGTACCACAAAGAAGGTGGAGTCAGACATGGAACGCCACTTCCAGGCGCAGATCAACCACTACGAGGCGCAGCGCCAGAGTGATACCGCAAAGATCGAGGAGATGTCGGCCGTTCTGCGTGGCTTGTCCAAGACCGTTTCTATGCTGGCCGCGAATCAGAGCCACCAAATTCAGCAAAGCCAAAGCCCGCAGCTTGAGATGTCCAACCGCGAGATCTTGAACGTCCACAAGCGCTCCTCCTCAACTAGACAGCCAAGTGAGAACCACGCGCGCATACCACAGCCGTTGTCTCAGCCTGTGCCCCAGCCTCCGGCTATCCAGGCACCAGCCCCGGTTCCTGTTGCTTCCCCTGTCGTGCGATCTCCCGAGGAAATCGAAATGGGCGACATTGTGCAGCTCATTAATACCGGCCACTACGAGCAGGGCACTATCAAGGTTGGTTTCAGATCACTTCCATACATTCGATGTTCCTACTAACATAAATTTCCTAGTGGCTCCAATCAAACCAGCAAGCTGACCTGTTTGACAACTACTTTGTCCACATATCCCCCGCCTACTTGTCCCGACTTTCTGCCATCGTCATGCTCTCTGTGGCCGTTGCTGTCACCACTACTATGCAGAGCAACATTGGCCAGCGCCTCCACTGGCTCGAGGTGGTTCTCCAAAACGTGAACCCCAGGGTGTGTCATTACTCGGTCTCAAATCTTTGAAATTTTTGTACTAACTCTCCCGCTTTTTTAGGACACTGATCTCCGCGAAGTCGCACCTCGTATTCTGGACATCATGAGCCAGCGCCTCAATACCCTGTACATGTCAGTCGTTGAGCGCAACCCGCATGACCCAATCCTGCGACTCATTTCACCCCTCGCTCGCCGTGCCCGCGAACTGCACGCCAGCCTATCTTAAATTGCGTTTTATTTCTTGTCTTTTTGCAGGTTCATGAATTCGGAGTCATGATGAGTTCACGATCTCGACACGGACCCATCAACGGCGTTGTCACTTTGCTTTTCAGTATGACGTGTGACGATATCGAAGGACTGAAAATGAAAAATACCCCCTCAAAAAACATCTGAATCCGATCAGAGAACATGATCTCTGGGACTCTTCGTGATGGGTGAAGCGGTTATCTTGGTTATCAGGTCAAATAGACCTTGACGAGAACACGACGTTTCCTTAGTCAGGTCATGGAAAACGACTGTCCGGGGCACATTTGATACCAATGCACATCCTTTGTATTTGCTATTTTTCTGATGGCATCTTCTATGGTCTAAGCACGCTGTGGGCTATCTAGGGCTTGTAGAGTTTGGTTGCGTCTCTCTTGTATCTAGTTTTTTAACTCTGGATTTCCTTATTTATGGCATGGCATTATCATCATCCTCTAATCTATACGATCATCTTAATTTCAGAAACATCCAGGACGACAAATCGTGCAATGCTCGGCAACTTCTTATGGGTCTCTATCGGCTCACGCTGTGGGTTGAGGAATTGTAAAACATTCACAACTTCAATATGATTTAAGGTATTATGATTGTGTAGACATTGAAACAAATCATTTAAACAGGTCAAGTCTCAAGATAGGTAGCTTTCGTAACATTGCCGGGTTCCATTTACCTGTCGAGCAAATGTTGGTTTACAAGCCTTTATAAACCCGTATTAACCTTACCTATTTACATTGAACTACGAAATATCAGAGAGGGAAAATTCTAGCCGGCAAAGCCATCAGTAGCTTCTTGAGAGGCCCATGTTTGGATTCGCCAACAGAGCCTCGGATAATAGAAAGACTACCGGGGATTGAATTCCTTGAAAATTCGTAGGAGTTGCCAGATGCCAACGCGTGTTCCTCACTTATACTCGCCCTCTTGCATGACATCCCACTCACTTTTGGGCGACACGCTTCTTCGTACTTATGTTCGAGTATCTCGTGTGCTGTCTGTCGCCTTGGGAGTTCCTCTCCCTTCTTCATAGTTGATGGCAAAGTTGATGGCGACCCTCTTGCGTCCTGGTCAGATGAATCCTGGAGAAAGTTCTCCATAACCGACAAAGTCGTATGAGCAAATTTGATCGACGCCATGGTTGATAAGCGTCTTGTGTGTGAGAGGGTAACTTGACTATAATATCAACAACGCCTGCTCTGCATGGCCAACCCCAGGAGTGTCTTTGATGCTTACCATGCGTATTTCTTACTCTGAATCCTATAGCCGAGTCGAATGCCCATGGCTATGCTATGGAGGTAGTCATCACAGGCTGAGCAATCTCCATAGATTATCCCGAATACCGGCAAATCGCTCTAACACCCCCGACATCAGCATTGGTCTCTTTCGGTAGATAATCTTGAGTGCATCTGTGGAAAACAATGAAAGACTAGAAAAATGCGCAATGTAAGTAGGAGTTTTAATGACTCACGCAACACTTCGCTCTGCTAATCAAGCGATTGGATGGGTCCAATTAAAGCGAAGCATGGCCGCCTGGATCGAAATCAAATCCCCAGGTGCGCAACTAGGGCTGCGGCTTGTTATCCCCGCTTCTAGTCGGATGAATAACCAGGTGAACAGGTCTTTCCGGCTCATCATCCTGGCCCATGCCGGGCTGGTGGGACGGCGAACGACCAATGCCAAAGAATGGCGGGTGGGGCGTTACACTCCGGAAACCACGCTTGCGGCTGCGGAAACTCGCATCCTCTCCCGTTGTAAGAGGTGTGGCCGTGCTGTGCGTGTGGCTGATATTTGAGATGGGGATTGGTTCTCGCTCCTCGTGTGTGCTGGTGCTGATGACGCTGGAAATGGTTGCTGGGAGGTGATATCCGGCTTTTCCAACTGGGACCGAGAGGCCATGCACAACCTGAGTTTGGTCAGAAGCTAAATAAGACAGGAGGATGTGAGGATTTGGTTATTTGGGGGTGCTCACAATACTACAGATTACTAGGAACCAGACCACAACCCGGATGCTCTCCATGACTTGCTTTACATCCTCTGGGGCTTCGCCGTTGACTTGAATCTTGCGCAGGAATTCAAGGCTGACTGACAGGTAGAAGATGGCGCCCACTCCGATGGGACCGAAGAAGCCGACGAAAGCAGCCTGGGAGACGAGCTCAATCTGCGGGATCCATGTGTGCATGGTGAAAACGATCGGGAGACGGCGGACTAGGAGGACTAATATTCCCAGGAAGATGAGCCGATGGATTGGAATCACGCTATTGCCCAGGAAGGATGACCACGGGCAGACCGCTCCAAACCACATGAAGACAGAGAGGTTGAGAAGCATGTCGATTGTTGGTTGGAGGGAATCGTCTATGGTCTCAAGGCGGAACCAATCACTGTCTCTGTTAGCATTTTCGTGATACTCAAGCGATCAAGGTGACCTACTCTTGCGTAAATACGTTTCCAGCAATGAAACAGGCAAGAAGGTCATCTGTCCCAATCAAACCACAGGTTCCCACAATGAACAGCTGCTTCAGAGATTAGCAGTAGTTTTTTTTTTTTTGACGTAAACTCACTGCAAGAGCAATGGCAAACACCATAAAGCTCTCCCGGTCAACATAGCGCTTCTCCTCTGCCCAGTGCAACAACTTCCTCGCAATCCAACCAACCAGAGTTCCATATAACAAACTCAACAAAATTGTGTATGCCCAGGTCTCATAGAACCACAGCGCCATCGCCTTCCCCACACCACCGCTAAAGCTCTGGCTTCCCATCCCAGTATACTGGAGGAGATAAATCGCAAAGAAAAGGAACGGGTAGCCAAGACCATCATTAGCGCCAGATTCAGCGATGATAATCCTCTGCAGCTCAAGAGGAACATGTTTATCAGCAAACTTGCCCTTGACAATGGAATTGGACAGAACAGGGTCGGTTGGGGTCACGCATGCGCCGATGATCAGGGCATGAAGGAACTTGAAGTTCGGGACCATGGCCCAGATCACTAGGCTACTGCACATCCACATGGCAGCCATTCCTGGTCCAAGGAGTAGCCCTAGGCTCCGCCATTCGATCTGCAGATACCGCTTTGGGAGTTGGACTCCGGCTAGAACTAGCTGCACGCCTAGCACTAAGCGGGTAAAATGCAAAGTGATTACCTCGAGATTTTCGTCGGAGTGGAGTGCGTAGTCTTCCGGTCTGATGAAATTGGCTGCATGGGGAGAGAATAACACCCCGGCTAGCAGGGAGATTACTATTTCCTTTTAGCGGTTGTGGTGATACTACCGGATGACTTAACACTCACATGCTTCGGATAGATAGAACTGCTCCTTACAAAGGTAGGATACTAGCCCGAAGAGGGAGATAAACCCCCCGAGCGTTGCGCAGACGATGTTGAAGTTGATCAAGGCGAGTGTCGGCATTTTGCTCTGCGCTATACACCACTTAAAATGTTCTGAGTTATATCTGAGGAAGATAAAGGCCCAAATTTGTCATGGGAATAGATTGGATTCAGCAGAGTCAGATCAGTGAGATCTAGAGTCTTCCAGGATGTCTGTATGTCAAGGTTGAACGAGTACAAGCAAGTGTTACTGAATCACGGTTTAAAAGTTCTGTGTCATTGCAGGCAATATCATCTGGATGAATTGAAATGGTTCGAAGGCAGAGAACAGTAGCATTCGTATGGTGCTATGGAGGTGAAGATGTGAAGAGAGGAAGAAGAGAGAGAGATCTTCGTGGGAAAGATCGGTCTTGGGAAAAA